TGTTAACTTTTAATTTTGTTATTAGAAGAAAATATGAATTATTTTTCAATTGAAAAAACACTATTCTTTAGTTGACAAGATCCAAGAACAAGCCAGGAATGCATGGGTCCATGTGTCTGTGGACCCTAGGGACCTCTACATAGATCTCAGAAACCAGAGAATTAAAAAATATTGCTTATAAATGTCTCCCCTATAAAGAAACCCAGCTTTGGTATTTCAGGACCTAATGAATTAATTTAACTACATTTGACCATGAACCAGAACTTTACAAGTTATCGATGAAAATATCAGATACTTTATAGAGAGCTCACATCAACTATTCATTTCCTCATTTTTTAGGAACTGTCTATATTGGAAGAACATTAAGATGATATTGTAGCTTTCTAGGGAAATGCCCTTAGATTCTACAGGTAATTGATATGCACACCACATGAATAAGAATTCTTCTATATCTATTAATGTTATAGTCAGTGACATAAAACTGTTGCCTTCTATTCCTTATGAAAGGACCAACCTATGTTTTATCCATTAAATTTTTTTTCCCTTCTACAAACTTAAAGTGTGTCAACTTGGGATAAATAAGTTAATCTATAGTTTCTGAAGTAATCATGTTAAATCTGACTAGGGACATTAACGTTGTCTTACTGGAAGATTTATTTGGTGGTCTCTATATGTTTTATGGCTAGAGGCTGGAATCATGCCTTACTCATCTCTTGGTCTCCCACAGCAGCTACTGCAGAGTGCTTTGTAGACTGCAGGCAACCCCTAAATGTTTGTGGACTAAATAATGTGCATATCCACAGAAAAAGCCATTTATCAGATTAATTATTCAAGATATTGGAGCTTCGTGATGCTCAATACTATGACTGGTAGCCATACTTTTCAAAAGACTCCTAGTCTATCTCTTCCTTTGTTCTTTTCTTGTTTTAAAAAGGATTTAGACAATATAACTATTAATAAATGTTTTTGTTTGCACAACAATGAATTAAATTTTCAGTAATGGTATTTGAAGGAAGAAAAATGAATTTTGGATGTTAAATAATGGCAACATGATTTGAAATGTCAAGTAATTATGTTGTAACTGACATGCTGGCAATGAAGACAGAAGGCTCATCAAATCCTAATATATCTTGAATTAAATATCCAAAAATAAAGATAGGATAATCTGTTGCACTAGGAATAGCCATCAGATGAAGCTCAAAGATGAAATCCTACAGAGAAATGATCTTGGTGGCTGTAGTTTTAGTGATTATCTTGAGCCCTGTGAGCCCACTGTGTGGGCCTTCCCACATGGGGATGGGTCCATGCTCTATTCATGTTGATGTCATGCTCCTTTTCACCTGGTCTACTGCTCTAAATAAAGCAGGTGTTTAATAAATGTGAAATTGAATTGTATATGCATGATTGTAAGTTACTACAGGAGAAGCTTTCATTCATTCAGTTATTATAACAGACATTTCAGCTATATTTGGATTGGAGGATGTTGCTAATTTGTTAATCTCTTCAAAAGCCTGGTAGAAGAGAACAATGACTGCCCACAAAGATGCGCATGTCCTAATGCCCAGAACCTATGAATATGTTACCTTATGGCAAAGATGACTTTGCAGATGTGATTAAGATTAAGGACCTTGAGGTGGGGAGTGCATACTGGATTATCCAGGTGACCCAATCTAATCATGAATACTTAAATAGCAGCTGTGATCAGAGAGAGACTTGGCAACAGAAGAGTCAGATATATGTGAAGAGAAAAGGACTTGACTCTTTGTTGCTGGTTTTGAAAATGGAGGAAGGCGCCATGAGCCAAGGAATGTGGGCACCTCAAGAATCTGGAAAAGACAATGAAGTGGCTTCTCCCTAGAGCCTTTAGAAGGAAATGCAGCTTTGCTGACACCTTGATTTTACTCCTGACCTACAGAACTTTAAGATGATAAATTTGCATTGTTTTAAGCCCTAAGGTTGTGATAATTTGTTTCAGTAGCAACAGCAAACTAATACAGGAGCAACAAAATACAGTAGCAACAAAACTATTTGGTGATTTGATTCTGCTCAAGTGACTCTCTGCGACTTTGCCATTTCTCTATCTCTGGAAGCACTGGTCTCTGTGGAGGCTCTCCTGTCAGGACATGGCTTAGATCCATGCTCTGTGGCTCTGTGGCTGTCTTCTGAGATTGGAATAATCAAATCCTTTTCACACTGCACTGTGAAATAGTAGGCTATGTAACTTTAAAAAAATCTGTTTGGAAGCAAACATGTGATGCTTCCTATGGAAGGAAGGGTATAGTATATGGTAGCTACAGTATACAATAGTTGTAGTATACAGTAGGTTAAAAAGTATACAGTAGGTGCAGTATATTATAGGTATAGTCGGGCAAGAGGCCTGGGATTGAGATCTGGTCTCACCAATAATTAGCTGAATGACTTTGGAGAGATCACTCTTCTGTATGAGTTTCACCTATCTTAATCTATAAAATTAGATAGTCGGTCTAGAAAGCTTTTAGGGTCTCTTTCTTCTCTGAAAATAACAGTTTCTATGAGGCCTGGTGGAGAATGCTTATTTGATGCTTTTAAATGTCAGAGGAATTATCAACATTCATCATGCAGCTATCATGGATGTTGAATTTGGTTTATTTCTCTGAGTTGAGAGATAGCTATAATTACATATTTATAGAGAAAATCATATTTAATCTATTTTAAAGACTAACAAATACAATTCACAGCGTTCTCATGAGAAAAGTCTAATATTTTTACAAATATTCTAATATTGTGCCTTAATCTGAATTATTTTTATCATCTGAGGTATGTGTGAGCTGGTGTATGGTCATAATGCAAGAGCCACGAATTGTTGGCAAAAAGTTCAGGTCGTCTAACTTTTTCATGCAGCCTTTTCAGCATTTCTAAATAGTAAACTTGATTAACTGTTTGTCCAGTTGGTACAAATTCATAATGAATAATCCCTCTGATAGCAAAAAAGGTTAGCAACATCATTGTGACAAGTTTGCGGACTTAATTGTGAGACCTCGTATGTTTACTCCCCCAATATACAGTGTGGAACAGGAGACTTACTGGGCTATTGGGAGTCTTCTAAGTAACGATCCTTTATTTAGTTAGCTCTACTTTAGATTCAAGGAAAATGGTCCTAATTTAATTTTTCCTTTTAAAGTATTTACCATTGCCACTATTTGTTATTACAAAGCAATAGTTCCCATACTAAAATCAAAAGTTCAGAGCCTTAGCATAATAATCTCAATATCTATTCATTTTGTTGCAAATGACACTACTTCATCTTTTCTTATGGCAGAATAGTATTCCATTGTGTATATATATCACATCTTCTTTATTCAATAATCTATCGAAGGACACTTTGGTTGTTTGCATGCCTTCACCACTGTACATAAAGCTGCAATGAACATAAGAGCACATACATCTTTATGGATAAATGTTTTCAGATTTTTGGGGTATATACCCAGGAGAGGGATTGCTGGGTCATATGGTAATTCTATTCTTAATTTTTTGAGGAACCTCCACATTGCCTTCCATAGCAGCTGCAACAATCTGCATTTCCACCAATAGTGTAATTTTACTAACCATTGTCACTCAACAAATTTTAATTAAAAAAAAAAAAAAGCTCAGAGCCTAAAAATTCAGGTCAGAATGAACATTTTGCTAACATTTGTTGGAACACATTTAGATTTCCTCATTTGGAATTTCAGTTAGGAGTTGGCTTATGAGCCACACAAGGAAAATCTGTTTTCACTAATTTTCATTCACACTCCACAAAATGGTATTAGCCAACCTCAATGACATTTTATTTATAAGTCTTGGCTATGAATGACTCTAATGTATGAGAAAAATATCAAATTAATGTTATACATGAAGACTTTTTAATGATATGTTTATTAAAAATATCATTTCTATTACATTATATGGAAACTTCCGTGTTCCCCTTCTGTGGACCCTTTACTGTCATAACCTAACAGAGCTGATAGTTTCTGTTTATAGCTATTTCCCTTGTTTTTATGTTATCCATTGACACATTCATTTGTTCATGCATTAAGCACAAAGTTGGTTCCAAGTACTGTTTTGGGTGAAGGCATGGGATGGGAAGATCTGGGAGAAGTGACATCTGGACTGATATCTAAAGCATGAGGAGGATGAGGCACTGTGGGTTGAAGTCAGGAGAGAAGGGGAGGGAGCCAAAGGGCTTTGATGTTTGGGAGGGCATGACACCCTTGGGGAAAAGAAGAAGGTCAACACAAAGGATGCTTAGGATTCAAGGTGATGGAAGGAAAGATGGCAGCCAGCCATCTCCTAGAATCATACCAGGCCTTGCCCTATCAAACTTTCGGTTACCCTTTTTAAATCCCTGTCTCCAACCCAACTTAAGCAGCAGCAATAGTTGTAGTAACAGCAGCAGTGTCATGGTGTCATGGGTCTGCATGCTTCCTTCCCTTTGTGCTGAGACTGTGCCAGGCACTTTCCAAGAGCTGTTACATTTAGCCCTCACAATTACCCTATGTGGCAGACATTATTATCATCCACCCCCGACCTCCACCAAACCTCTACATTTTCTCCCATCAGTTAGATAGTCTCCATTTTTTTCATCCACTTCTCATTTGACGTAGTCCTATGTCCTCTCATCCTAAGACCATGTTCCAGTTCATCTCTGTATCTACTAAGGTGTAGAGACAATCACAACCTAAGAACCCTAGGTTTGCTCTGATCCTCAGGGTTGTCACCTCTCTTATTCTGAAAACCCTATTTGTATGAATGCATATAAACATGCAATGAAAATATTTTTGAGGAATCAATTCATATTTTGGATTCATACTGAATTTAATATTGATTAAAAACTCTAACATTTCCTACCCATGGGGCTGCTCTGCCATGGCCTCTGTTTGTGCCTGGTGATTTTGCTGGGCTGATGCATATGGAGTGATATAACCTTATGAAATGTGTTGACATTAAAGTGGGCCCAGGGCTCCTGTTTCCAAAGACCTTACCTCTCAGTCACAACAGGCAAGATGAAGAACATCCAGAAGTGAATTCCAAACACAAGAATGACCTGGAAAATGACCTTTCCCAATACAGTCTTCCTGAGGTACAGTGCTCGGTCCACCACCATGGTTCCAAACTGAATGAGGACCATCACCAGAAACGGCCCAGGTACCTGGTCCTCAGACAGCGAAGAGGTGATGTCTGCTGCTGCTGAGTGTTTCTGGGAAAAAGACAACAGGTTCAGGCCTGAGTGGCATTTCACAGGACAGCATAACTATTAGTCATTAGAGGTATTGTGGTCTTTACCCCCACCTACCCCAAAGGCCCAAAAGCCAAAGACGATGATGATGAAGTCGACAGTGTCAGCCAGGAACATAAGCACATAGACATCAGTCACAGCACTGTAGTCTGGGTGGATGAGGTTGTAGAAGAACTGTCTGATGGGCACATATATTTGCAGAGTCCTGCAGAACAGAGACCCCCCCACCCGCTTGCTTCAGGAAGGGCAGGATGGGAGGAATGACCAGATACTGCAATCATTCTGTTCCTATGCATTCCTCTTTCCAACCAGGTTGTACCTCCTTCTTTCAGCCTCAGGATAGTCCTGCTGCGGAGTGACTCCTGTACTAAAGAGTATATACGAGCTCATTCCCAAGGTAGGCACTGCAGTCTTTTTTGCCAATGGGACCACAAATCTTTTCTCTTGCCTAAAATGTAATAGAGTGGTATAAAGACCTGGAATTTAGGTGCCTGGTTGGTCACCTGATTCAATTCCTCTCCACCTGTGACACCTTGAGCCTGCTACTTGACTCTCTGTTTTTATTTCCTCTTCTGTAAGATGTGGGGAATTATAAGGCACAGGGCTGGGGTAAGAAATAAATGGGAATGCATGAGGGCTTAGACCTGACATACTGACCTGGCACTTAGGCATTCCTGTCCCTCCCCTTTTTGGTCCTGATCCTCTCCTGGTTACCAGGTACAGCCCTCGGCTTTTGAACTCACCTTGCTCTGTCTTTTATAACTGTGTCCTCCTGGCTCTGGCTTGTCTGCCCAGCCTCTGCCCTATCTTTACTGTGCTCTGGCTTCTGCCTTCCATTTAAGGCCACACCAGGTGTGGACGGCCTTCCTGGTCTCAGAGCCCATATTCAGGGCCAGCCCTGCTGCATGTCCTCCATTCCCACTCCTTGTCTGCAAGTTGTCTGCATCTCTGACACTTAGGAGGGACTTGTGCATTTTGTTGGAGACTGGCTATATGTTAATGGACAAACCATTTCCCCACCATGTGCCTCAGTTTCCCCTCTCTAGGATGAGACTGTATGTCTAAGGACCTTGCAGCTTTGGCATCAAATTCATCTCTGTCCAGTTGGATTTTACCATGATAATGCCTGGAATTACCTACTATGGGCTCCTGAAATTACTTATTTATTCTGTTCAAATAGAAAATTGTGTTTATAAATGTAGTGGATATAAAAATGAATCAAACTTATTGAAAAGTGATTTTTATACAATGTAATAATGGGTCATTTTATTCTGCCTTAAGAAGATGATGTTTGTGATATGAGAAGTCACTTCTCTGCTCTTTGCCTATGGTTTATATGAAATAATTGTTACCAATTATTTAGCAAAGTTCCCCAGCCCTAAAACAAAACCCATGATCCAAGTGTTTTCATGCACTCACTTCTTTATGGTAAATGCTTTTGCTTTGATTAAATGTTCTTGAAGCTTTTCCATATAAAGTTCCCTTTTGCTTTTTTGCTTGATGCTCAAAACACTGCTACCTTTTAGACTGCTGTTTTGGGTGCTTGTGCTGCCTAGAAATAAAAAGAAACCAAGATGCACTGTGAGGTACAGGTTTGTTGACATAGATATCACAGGAGCCCCTGGGGCCCACATGCAGAGGGATGGCTTGAAATTGTTTCTAGGTGAGGACACACAAGTGCCTGTAAGAATGGTGACTGAGAATTTGGAAAGTGCCATCTCAACTCTGCTTCTGTAGTAAAACACATCTGTGGGTTTTTATACCCAATGCTGATTCTTTCCTGGATTGTTATGTGATCTTTGTGCCAGGAAGGAATACATGGGAAGAAGAGCTTTTATAGTGTTAAATGGGGTCCTAGGTTGCAGGTTTTCCAGATTAGGTCCATGACCCAACCATTTTCTCATGTCCTAATTTCTCTAACTGTAAAATGAAAGTAAGATGACCTGCCAGCATCTTCCTGAAAAGTATATTCTGAAGATGAAAATAGTCACGCGCCAATTAACCATGGGGATACATTCTAAGAAATGCATCGTAGGCGATTTTGGGATTGTGCGAGCATCACAGAGTGCACTTACAAAAATCTAGATGGCATAGCCTACTACACACCTAAGCTATAGCTATACGGTATACCCATTTGGGTATGGTTTACCTGAAAAGTCATTATGCAGTACATGCCAGTACGCAAGTGTTTGGCAAGCTTCAGAGAGGAGCACTATAAATACAATCACCTAATTACTCCAAGAGTGGCAACTGTAAGGCTTATCTACTTTCTGGTTGTACTTACTGTTCAGTAAGAAATTAATAACTAGCTGAGGAGATCAGTAGATGGTATGGCTAAACAAATTCCCATCAGTAAAATCTAAATATATTTTTTGAATAAATTGTGATTTACAGCACTCTGGACACACCCAGCAGAATCTCTGGATAGGATCTTAAAACTATCATGTGCCCAGCACTAACTAGGTACTAGGCAGCATGCTGGTCACTCTTCACAATTATCTGAAATCCCCTGTCCTGGGAAGGAATCAGATGTTTGAGCAATGTCATGACTGCTCCAGGTCGTACACAGCTGATTCAGAATTTGAACTTGGGCTTGTTTGATTTCAAATTACTTTCTTTTCACATCACAAGATCTGTGTCCTTGGTAACATCCAACAAACTCCCCTATCTCAGACCCACTAGCACCAGGAAAACAAAACAGTTCAGAGTGTTATTCAAGCTCAAGGACACCACATGATGGATACCTCTTTGGGATCTATTTGAAGAAAAGCTGGATCTGTGGGATATCTGGGAGCTGCTGCCAGAGCGTTTCCTCCGTACAGCTGTTGGCTGCTCAGGGAAGGACACATGCACTGACTCCGTGGACGCGGCCAGGTTGATGGATTTCAGAGAATCAGAGGAAGCCCTTCTGCCATGACTGAGGGATAGCTCATCATCTGATTCTTCCTTGTCTGTGCCACTATCAGTGATGTCATCTTCATCCCATAAGCCGTGGCACTGAGAAAGCATGGGAAGGGACAATTCAGACTGCTGTTTCAGGTGACAGAGCTGATATTCTGCCCTACAATATCTCATCCAATATACTGTCCCCCAAGATTAGAAAACCAAAGGTAAAACAGAGTGACTACAGTTGATAACACTGTGGTGTATAACTGAAATTGGCTAACAGAGTGGAACTTAAATATTTTTTTTCAGAAAAAAATCCATATTCGAGGTGATAGATGAATTACCGTATTTCCCCATGTATAAGACACACCCTTTTTCGAAAAATTTAGAGTCTAAAAACTGGGTGCGTCTTATATAGTGGTTGTAGGTCGTTGTCAAATCATTTAAGAAGTGTGGCATTTCAAATGCCATGGATGAAACTGAGGACGAGGCAATATATGAAGACTGATTTGTCAGCAGACACAGATGAGGACAAGCTAATGTTTGGGAGTTCTGACAGTGATGAGGAGTTGTATGAATTTTATGATGAATAAAACTTGAGTTCAAACAGCTCAACCTGGAGCTGGGCTGCCGTGAGTCACCGGCGACGGCTTAGGCTGCAGCCCCTGTGGCAGTGGGTTGCCATGGGCTACCGTATGTAGCCAGCAACCAGCGTGAGCGGCCAGCAGCCGCAGTGCGCGGCCGTCCAGAAGCCGGCGACTGATCTGCCTCTCCCGGGAAGAGCGCAATGATGGTGCCAACTTGGGCCAGTGAAGCAACGTCCTCCACAACTAGACTGAAGAACAAAAGGACAGCAACTTGTCTGTTCCCCTTCCCCCAATTCCCCAGCACTGTTCCCATCCCAATTCCCCAATAAAAATCTTTAAAAAAACAAACAAACAAAAAAAACACTTGAGTTCAATAACCTTATGTGATACATTTTTTTTCAAATTTCGGGCCCCAAAATTAAGGTGCGTCTTATACATGGGAGCATCTTATACTTCGGGAAATATGGTATTTAGCTAGATTGGGAATCCTTTCACAATGTATACATTTACCTAATCACCACGGTGTATACTTTAAATATTTTACAATTTTATTTGTCAATTATACCTCAATAAAGCTGAAATTAAAATTTAAAAAAAGATTAGAAACCAAAGCAGGAGAAGGGATTCTAAGAAAGCTTATTTATAATCTTATGATGGTCCCTGTAGAATGGAGGTGAGTGAGGGTAGATTCTAAGGGTTTGGCTAATTAATTGAGATGGACACAGGTAATGTTTGACAGATGGAGTAAACATGAAATTATAATCACTTGACTTGTTCCTTGAGTGAAAGTGCTTTCCAGAACACATCTCTCTATGGTTACAATAGCATTCAAAGTATCTACTTGAAGTATCGGTGGGTGAATTTAGCCTCACTGCCTCATGTTCCCCAAAAATCTGTACTTGAATAATGATGCTGCCACTCTTCCAGCCTGTATAACAAGATGTGAATCCCTGAATCACACATGGCTGACTCAGAAACAGAGTTGCAAATAACTTTACTCAAAAAATGTTGGCCCACATTGTGAGACAGAGGTTATGTATGATGCATTCTGCACAGCTTCAAGGAAATGGGATAAAAGGGACTGATAAAGAGGGGAAGAATGACAGTAGAAAAGGAGGCTGAGAAACCAGGGACCATGTTGGACCACAAGTCACCCTTATGATGAGATGGCCTTGCTGCTATTGGACGAAATTCCCAAATGAGCTCACTGCCTCCTGAGCACCTTATTGCCAGGCTCTGCATTTATTTGCCAAGACTGATCAGTCCTCCCTCTGACACATACGTTAGAGGATAAGAGCTCCAGGCCAATTTGCCATAAATCAGTTGATCAAAAACCAACTCAGAGAATAATCAATTCATCAAAAGACAAAGTCACATAATTTACAGATTATTCTTAAATATTTATTTATAGGTATATTGTTTTTTAAACATATTGAATGTATTCTGATAAACAACCATTTTAGGTGTTCTTAATGGGATTTTTCAGTTTATACTGATTTCTTTCAAATCATTTTAACAGTTGTTTTGTCTTTTGCCAACATTTTAACATATTTAGATTCCTTTTCCACTTTCTTAGTAGTATATTTAAGTTTTTTAGTTCTTCCAATTATTTATAAAATTGCAGCAATTAATACTAAATAGGATAGTTTTAACCACTTTTTAAATTTCTACATAGTTTTCATTATTTGGTTTCCATAAGAGGTTTTATTCTTTTCAAAAACTGTAGGGTAGTTTGGTTTTCTCATAAAAAGATTTATCATTTCAAAAAGTATTTTTCATATCATTAGCCAAAATTTCAGCATAATACCAGCACCTTAAATCTCATATACATTCACAATATAAATGAAATTTTCAAAGAAGATATCAGAGTATCAATATAAAACACCAAAATTTTATTTATTATATACTTTAAATATAAAATTGTAGCTGTTAAACCATTCAAATATTGATGAAAAGTAGTAAAAATAATAAAAATAGTAAAAATGCGTAAAGGTTTATAAAATTTTCAAAATTACATGCAAAAGGATACAAAAGTTGTAAGAGAACTCTAAAGAGGCCAAAATTATACCATCATGTTTTAAATGCTGAAATTTAAACTAATTTCTAGAACTAAAACAATAAGGTTAATACATTTATTAATATACTCATAACAACAATTAATAAATTGGATTAATTTGGATAATTAATGTATTCATCAGAAGAACTGGAGTATTTGGGCAAATTCAATTTTGGCTAATTGGTTTCCTCGGATAACAGATCACAACGCAATGACCCATTAAGGCTCCCCCAAAATGAAAGGTTAGGGACTTGGGTACTTTGCAAGGTAACAAAAGATAGAGTGATGATCTTGACCAAAGGAATATGAAGAAGAGCCCAGTTTGAATTAGCCATTGAGTAGGACAGAAGTTGAACACACTGCTACATATGTATGTGTGCATATATGTATATGTGTGTGTATATATTAACATAGGTCAAGCCTATTCTAAAAAAGAACTAATAAAGATACTACTTGATAAAATAAATTTAAAATGTTTTATAAAAGGAGACAAGGTTAAAGGAAGAGAAGTAAGGTTGTGACAATAGGCACATCAACACATAAAATGTATGCTATACAATAATTTCTAATTTTTATCATTGAGTAGCATATTTTACACACTTACAAGCTCAGCTTATAGTTCACCATATACAAGAAGGAAAAACTCAAACAGTTTCTCAGGAGGATGACAAGAGTTACTGAACCTGAGACAGGTAATCCTATAGTCATGTCTTCCCAAAGCAGTGTGATAAATGGCTTTCTCAACAATAAGCTTATGGAAAGCATAGCACTGGCTTTACCAGACCATTTAATGTATGGTCTCTCACTCAAGCTAATGGTTTCACGACAAGAAACTACCCAATAAAGCAATGCTATTATTGAGTTGTCAGAAAAGTCATGACGCATTTTTCTGTTTTTTGTTGCGAAAATGCATCATGACTTTTCCGACAACCCAATAAAGAAGGTAGGCAGAGATTGGGATGGAGATGAGAGGCAATGTGATCCACCCCAAATTATAGCTCTCTGATGTTCTGGCTTAAACTAGGAGTAGAATTTAGCATATCAGGCATTAAGATACTGTATGCCATTCAAGCAATTCCTGTAAATGTGGATTAGTTATATGTTCAACCCAGGGGAGGGGAGAAATATGGGGAAATATTCTCCCAGATTTATTACAAATTCCATTATTGAGTACAGAGTGTTGGAGAAAATGTCCACTAAATGAATATAACTGTTTTTTGTTTGTTTGTTTGTTTTGAAAGCATGCAGGTAGATGCCACCCTTCACTATCCCTTCAGCACTGTCACCAATCCTAATGTTCATATTCTCCAGGAGTATTACAGGGACTGCAATTATCAACATGTAACTGTTAACATGCAGTACCTTCAAAATTGATCGATGGAAGAAAAGAGCCAGGAGCTGAATGAGATCATAAAGAACATAACCTTCTTTCTTTTCCACTCCTATGATATTAGGTGGATGGTAAGGTTTATCCTTGTTGAATTCCACATGCTTATTCCAGGGAAAAAACCCAAACTGGAAGAAATACTTGACCACAATTGTCACCTGCACACAGACGATAGAAATTAAAAAAAAAATACTCCTTTTAATAGTTATATAAGAGAAACAGCAATATAAAATATTTTTAAATATCATTCCACAGTTTTGATGATAGGAATGCACACAATTATGTGGAATAATAACATTATGATTTTTACAGACCATAGACTTTAGAACAAGAGCTATATCATACCCTCACAATTGCCATTGATTGTAGATATATTAGGGCCAGTCAGGTTACTCATGACATTGCTTAAATTATTTCCTTAAATTAGTTGGTTAATTTATACTGATTTAATTGATATTCATATAACTATACAGCTATTAAAACATGGTAATTAGGAAAAATTAGCAGAATAATATTTGTATGTTTATATTTAAATATTGCTGTAATTTGTGATCTTTATGAACATATTATGCAATTTTGATGTACACAATTTTTACTTTACTCTAATCTCTTTTTTCTCACTACTTTATTGCTCACTGGAATTTCTTCTCAAGAAGAAATAAAAATAAGTGAAACAAATTGTCCAGTTGTGCTGGTAACTAAATCACGGTATAAATGTTGTAGAGAAGTGGTATGTTGAGGTAGAAAGACAAATGCGAAAATTGATGGGGTTCATTTAAGCATATCTCTAATGTCTATATCAGCAGGAGTTCATTGCAACATATATAATTCATTAATAAAAAATACTTTTAAAAGTCTTCTCTTGACCTAGAGTCTCCCTTTAGCTCTTCTCCTCTCTTGTCTTCTTAGTCAAGCTTCTGCAAAGAACAGTCCTGTTCTTTGTGGACAGCATCACCAGTCATCTTAGTGGATGGCATCCCCACACACCAAACGCCAAAACAGAAACCTGGAGGTCATTCTTGCTTCTTCTTTTCTCCCTCACACCCCAACCAGTGTTAGTCAATTATTAAAATCTCATTTACCCACTCATCGTCAACATCATTGTCACTGCACTCAGACCCTATTGCTTCTCATCCAGACAGCTAAACTCATTTCCTACCTGGTCTCCATGCCTCCACATTCATTCTGTATAAAAACTTGCAAAAACACAAACCTGATTGAGTCATGCCCCTGTTCAAATCCTTTAATCCAAGGGGATATGTCCTAAGCATAAACCCTGTTGACATTCCCAAGCTCCATCTGCTGCGCTCTCTACTTGCAGCCTGCCTTCCAGCTATCATAAGCCACCTGTCATTCTTAGCACTTGCCAGGTTGTCTTATGCCTTTGTTTCTTTTCATGGGTTATTCCTAATGACTGCAGCTCCCTTTGCTATTCTTCCTTTGGTGATCTTACACTCATCCCTTAAGACTCAACTCTAAGTTCTCTTCTACTGAGAAGTTACCATGATATCTAACCTCTCTCCACCCCACCAGGCTGCATGAGGCACAGCCTCCATCTAAGTCTTGTACAGTATCTAATGAAGTTGTGTATCAGTTGTAGGGTAATTCTTTGTTTACATCAATATCTGTCTACCACATTAGTCTATAAGCCACTGAGAAACAGAAACTGCTTTTTTTTTATTATTATATTTCATCCTAAGCATAGTTCTTGGGTTTTGGCACATAGTCCACATTGTGGAGTGAATTAACATCAACTTCCTACTTCTTTAACAACAATTTCCTACTTCTTCATTCCTCAGTGTGACAGAAAAAATGGAGAAGCCAAATTTACATAATCAGAAAGATTTTGTTCTTAAGATGAAAGTTGTGTGTAACTTGCTCTTGTTCCCTTTTCCACATTATCAGTACCTGCTCTTACTTTACTCCTAGGTGAGAAAAGCGCTCCCACAGAGGTGTTAGAAAATATACACATTCCCCAAATAAAGAGTCATTTATATCCTGTATCACAAAGTGATGTAATGGAACTAATATTTAAGAATAATTATTTTGGCAAGATTGTGGTGTGAAGGCTAATTAAAGTAATATTTGGCTGCATCTTTTATCTTTATTATGGAAATAAGATTCATGACATTAACACTTTATGCTGAATAATTTTGATATGACTTAACATATAGCTTTGTTATTACTGTTGAATTATTTATAAATTTGCAAAATTTCTAGACTCTAACAGTACATCAATCATGAGTACTATACTTTAAGAAGTAATTACAGTACCATTGTTTTCTAAATATGTTTTCTTATGAGCCAGTTAAGAAAATCAGCCTTCTTCACAAACCTAACACAAAGAACTATGATAGCCCAAGGCACAAAGTCTATAGCACTCCCTTTTCTTTTCTTTTTTTTTAAATTAAAGTTTATTGGGGTGACAATTGTTAGTAAAGTTACTTAGGTTTCAGGTGAACAATTCTGTAATACATCGTCTATGTATTCAATTTTATGGTTGTCATGGGAATTTGTGATCTATATATTTAATAGAACAGAAAAGCAGGGACATACAGTTGGGCAGAGTGTCTCTTGTACTCTGCCAAGTGATGAAAATGGGCTGGCAATTCATACCTTTTGTTATTCAGATTTTTAAGTGCATCATTAAATAACTTTGTGTTTTGAGGTGTGGAAACTGGCTTTTAGGCTTAAAAATGGAAAACATGCATGTTGCATGAAACTATATTCAAAGTGCTTACTGTATTGTTTAATTTAGTATCCACTAACGCAATATCCAGAGGCTCCAGGCACTACACTTAGTTCTGCATAGCACTGTTAATATCTTAGTGGTTAATATTCTAGGACAGACAATCAGGCTTCAAGCATCTGCCCCAACACTTGCCAGCTGGATAGCTTTGGGCCTTCAGTCTCACTAACGGCTGGTTCCTTATCTGTTAAATAGGAATGATAGTAGCTGCTATTTTGTGTGAGGTATGAAATGTGAAAAGATATATAAAATTACCAGCATTAGATAACTGTGAGTTACATTTATTTGTCTATCCAAGGATATCCATCTAACTCATTGTTCTGTGTGAAACTACCTGGACTCAGGGCAGGACCACATAGAGTGAATGCCCAAAGCAACTTGCAGGAAGGTTCCACCCAAGGCCTACCTCTGTGTAGACAATGGCCATCATCCAGAACCGTCTGCTGGGCCTAGGGACAGACAGCATGGCCCAGAGGAAGATCAGAATGGGGAGCACAAGGGTGATCATGGAGGCAGAGACCATGTGGTTGAGGATGATCACAAAATAGCACACCATTTCTGAGCGGGCCACCAGTGTGTTGTACATGGCGTAGAACAACAGCAAGAACCTGGGCTGGCCAATGTAGAATTTTTCCGACTCTTCAAGTTCATCGTCATGGAACATTCTGGTAAAATAAACAGCATGGCAATAAATTTGTCTTAATTTCTCAAAATTACCGATTTCCATATTGCATGATCCATTCTGTCTTTCCTCTCTTCCTATGTCCCCAGATTTCTTGTGGAAACAACCTACCATTATATTACAGAAAGAAATGTGAGCAGTGTCTATTGACAGCTTTTGCTAGTTCTATCATTTAGTGATAGAAGACCTGAAGTTTGTTTTATACTTGCAGTATGAGAAATAATGAAAACTGTATCTGTTAGCTGTAAATATCTAGGTGGGCATTTTTAATATGTGAGTTTCTCTATGCACAACTACAGTGTGCATGGAAGCGCGTGCACATGGAAGCCCTGACCCCCAGATACGCCTTCAAGCAGCCAGCGGGCTCTTACTTGTTCAGCAGCAGCTCGCTGGCAGTCAGCTCGTGAGTCAGCGGTGGTAAGATGCTGGACTCCAGCCTGTCGGAGCGGCTGTCGTCGGGACTGACCGCCATGCGGCTTGGGCTTGCGCAGTCATCCCGTGAGTCGAAGGACAGGCGCTCAAAGCTGACCGCCTTGCTGTAGGATGGCGGGACCTCCACATTGCCCTCCTCGGTGGAGTACCGTGGCAACTCAGTGTCAGGAGTGAGGCTGACCTCCTCAGATTCTTCTGTCTCCACCGCCTCTTCCTCCTCCTCCGCCTCCTCCTCCTCCTCCTCCTCGCCCTCCTCCTCCTCCTCCTCCTCCTCCTCAGGCCGCTCTGGCACTGCATCCACTGCGGCCTCACCGCCCTCCTCGTCCCTGACCTCCATCTCCTCATCCTGCTCCGTCTCCACCTCTTCTATGGTTTCTGTGGTCCCCTGGCGTGAGTACAACATGGTGCACTGCGTGGGCTCGCTGTCAGGAGAAAGGAACCCACACAGACAATTGTCTTAGCATACAGCTCCTTGGAATCCCTCCAAATTCTCAAGAAACTTTCTCAGCACTCCCAAATAAAAACATCAAGGCATGTGAAAAAATCAAACACCCCATCTCACCTTCCTGCATTCTATCTGCTTTGTTCCTTCAGGAGATTCATCTCTGGTCTGTAGAGACTGAAAACAGCAGCCTCTCAAATGCAAAAGCTAACAGTGCACACACCCAGTTGAAAACCAGAGCAAGTCACATGTCTCACAAGTTGCTAAACCCACCTATGCACAGAGGTTTTAAAAATCATATAAAAATTCACAGCCATGGGTTCCATTGTTTGTCTCCAAATCAAGACATAGCACAGCATACCTACCATTTATATGTATTTTAAGCAGGGTGCATATGGAAATGAGAAGTCTTGCCAGTTTGTGTCTGTTGGTGTTGACCAAGATAAACTCTACTCTCAGTCTTGTGCAAGGGACCCACCCAGATCCAGAAGAGGAGGATAGAAATGATAAAATATTGGCTAAACAACTTCATGCTTTAAAAAAAAATGACACACTTCTTTAATATTTATTGTCTCTTCCTGTTTTTCCATCCTTTGCCTTTTTCTTATTGGCACTTATTACATTTGACTGAAATTTCACCATCTCTCCAACTCCCAAACATATCTCACTGAGCTCTTTGTTTACACAAGGAAACACCCACCATTTTCTCTTCCTCTCTGTGATCTCTCCTTGGGGCTGTTTGCTCCACCCTCAGGGTTCACTTCCGCTCTCTCTCCTCCCAACAACTTTAGCTGATTTTATTCTGCCAACTCCCCTTCTAGTATTCACTTCCCATCAGCTCTCTACCCTTCTCTTCATTCTCTCTTTTTGGCACCCTGTTCCTTTCTCTTGCGTCTCTCCTCTCCTTATTTTAATGTTTTGCCTTCTAACTTTCCTTGCCAGGTCCATGCAGGAAAAGTTGGAAATGAAACTAGAGCAGCCACACCAGTGAAATTCATGACATGTCTTTTAATTTTGTCTATGTCAGTCCCCAAATGTGAGAGGAGCAAAAGTTACTGGTTATATGGAATCTGTGGATATAGTACTATAATTTGTTGGACTCTGAAATACGCACTGTTATCTCAATGGCATATCCGGGCAGCTAGGGTCTAAAAGCACTGAGATTCTCAAATGCACAGATTGTACCCATTTTTCTTGTCATCAACACTGGTGTAGACATGTCAATGAATAAATGAATTAATGGATGAGCCTTGACTGAGCCCTGAGACTGAAGAACCAAATTTGCATGTGTTCTTGGTTCCTGGTCAAGTGTTTAATATTACTATGGCTTTGACCCTAAGTGTGCACATCATGTAGAAGGCTCTTGGAATGCCAAGCCAAACCAGCTTTTTGCTAAGACTTACCTCAATTAGACATAGTCTCCTAGGAAGGCCATGAAATTGATCATCCCAGTGAATTTTCAGACCACTGGAGCCAACCCCACACCAGTTCGAACTTCCGGTTAAACTATATCCAATGACAGGCACTCTCTCTATGGTTTTGGATCTGGACTGGCCCCGAAGGGATTCAACAAATCTCAGTACCTTCAGGAATCAACAAAGTGGAATGGCATAGCATGTGTCTGCCAAAGGACATCTCAAATGGCCAAGGCATTCCCATCATTGCCAGACTTCAGCATACTGCAGCACTGTATTAAGATATATAGCTGCCAGCAAAAAAGAAGTTAACAAACCTCTAATCTGCCAAAATTAAAATTAGTTTTGGATTGGGTTATTTTGGTGTCAGGATAAGCACAATGTAGCTGATGCTTCTGTGCCCCTGCTGAACATTCAAAGGCAACTCAAAAAAGAGCCTTTGGATTTTATGCAAATAATTTCATTTCTAAGTGATTTTTATTTTATGGTAGGATTTAATGAGAAAACTTAAGCTCAAAGCAATCTTTTCCAAACAAAACAAGTTAAGCTCTGCAAGCATGATATATTCTGGTAAAATATATTTTGACTTTTATGTCAATTGTACATATAAGATGTGGACAGATTCATTCTGTATCAATTAAAAATGACCACATATTACTGATTTTTGGATTTTTTTTCCTACTGCATGTATCTTTTGATGAAATCATGGGAATAATTTTTCCACCTTTCCTGACACGTTTCCCCCTGTGAAGACTGCCTACATGAGCTCTCAATCAAGAAAGAAACATGTTTTTTTCTTTGAAAGTGAAAAGTGTAAAATACTTACAAAATGGAGGACAATGTTTATAATAAGGGTTTTTAAGAAACTTCTAACAGACAAAAACTAAAGAGCAGTTAGTTTAATAGAATGCTGTCCTGGGAATGACCAGTTAAGTCCCAGAAAAGGTGGTGGTTATGCCTTGGTTATTCATGCAAATTCTTTTAAAAAAATGAAAAGGAAACATACATCACAAGAACTGATAGTTGCAGTGACACAAAGGGGGGAAAGATGATAAAATGATGGAACAAAGCATGCACAAGTTAAGCACCTTGATGCTAAACTGCCACTGTCAGCTGATGAGGAGGACATATCCAAGCTGAGCATTTTACGGAGCCTAGGTCGAGCACGCTCACTTGTTTTAGGAACAGTTTCTGGTCCATCTAAATCATCAAGGGTAGACTGCCTTGAGAACAGCATGGTTGCTTCAGTGTAGCAGCTAGCAGCGCAAATAGTTACAGAGACACAGTGTTAAAACACCAGTGGTACATCAATTTACACATAGATCTATTGACCAACACACTGCCATGCAGCAAACCACACACAACACCAACACCACTGACAACGACGATCACCACAGCAGGGTTGAAGGACAGGAAAGGACCTGTTTGGCAGGACAATAAAACACAACAGTACTGGATTTAACAAAATATATTGGCTAGTGATAAATTATGAAATGTCACTCGCTGGGTGGGACAAGGAAATACAATAATTAATGATAAGTCCCGACACTTCTCTCACAGAGCAGAATTCATAAAATTATAACTTTTCAACTGTTTTTTCATTAAAGAAAATACATTTATTTGGAGCTCCCTGAGTTCATTGAGAGCATTTTGTAACCAAATTGCTTAAGCAGAAATATCTGCTCATGTAAAATTTATATAAAATATTTCAATATTTTTTTAACACAGTCTCCAAAATGAGAGAGGGAAGCTCAGGAATGACCACACCAAACAATTTTCCACTCCATTTTCTGAGTGATATTCAGTGAAGCCAAACTAGATGCCTTGCATGTAGAAGAGATGCTGGTTTGATATGCAACTGGATATAAACCAACATCAAAAAAATGAAATAAAATGCTACAAAGAAAACAACAAAGGAAGTCTAGCAATTGCAGGGTCATTTTGTCTGTTAACTTTTCATTTCATCTAATTTTTTTTCCCTCTGGATCATGTTTTAGGTCTTGATAGATGTCATTAGGGTGAGAACCCATTGATTAAGTCCTCAGCTCCCGTCCCCCAATGGAGCAACAATCGGGGAGGGAATGATGGTGACTCAGGACTGAGATGCTACTGGGTGATGCTACTGAAGGAGAAGAAGCAAATAGAGTTATGGCATAGTCATGATTTCAGTTCAGACATATCAATGAACCCCAAAGAGCATATGAGGCTGGCTACTGGAATACAAATCTTCCAACCTGAGCATTAGTGACCTGGCTGACCAAGGGGAGCAGGTCTTTGTGATACAGTACTGCTGGTTCCCCAGCTGACACTGTTAAGCTGAACATCATCAAGTGATCACACTAGGAGGCCTACTGTGTGCCCAACCTGCACAGCTGGATGTCTTCAGTCAGTGATTATGAGGCAGAAATGGACACAATTCAGGATGTAAAAAACTCTGGGGGATGGGGAACAGGGAATTTGAGTCACTCCCTCATGGACCCTATTAAAGGTTCCAGATGATTTAGCACAAGCCCATCAGTGCTCCTACTGTGCACATCACAACTACCAGGCCAAGAAAGGGGCAGGACAATGAGAGGAGTGAGCGTATAAGCAATCAAATGGTCTCTAATAAGGACACACAGGCTGATTTTTTTAAGAAGTCCATAATTTCCTTTTATGTCACCATGTTCTGGACAAAATGAGATGACAACAAGATAAGCTAGAAGCTCATTGAACAAACACAGGGAAGCTTGAGCTTGAGTCTCCACGAGGACATTAACTGGCTCTTGGATATTAGATAAGCCAATTATCCTCTGTGGGGTCCCAATTTCATCACTTACGAGATGAAGAGACTGGATCTTTGAAGTTCGGTATTTCATTTCATAATTTTAGAGGTGTAACCCCATGGCCTCTTAGGAGTTTGCAGGCAAAAAGAACTGTACTGTGTACCCTCTCCTATAGTACTGCTCATTTTTTCTGCATGAGAACCACCATTCTTATCCGAAAGTACTATTTATCTTGTTAATTCTTGTGTTGAACTCTACTGTCCCATCAGCCTACCTTCAGACCCCACATAATTTGGGTTCTTGGAGTGTGACTGATTTGTTCTCCAACCCAGAACAGTTTTAAAAGCGAAAGGAATAGGGAAGTGCTTTATAATAACAGGCCCAGTGGACAAACCTAAACGGATGGTTGTTGTCAGCTTGCAGGGTCACACAGAGACATCTAGGTGACATTTCTCAAATGATAATCAGTCCCTTCATATCTGGCAGAGCTCCTTAGAATGTCACTAATGTTTCTTGCAGGAATTTATGCCAGTTTATTTTCTGGGAAGGTAGATGTTTTCTGATTTTATAAAAAAACCATTAAAAACATAAGTACTACTTAACATCTGGATTTGAAGGAAATCATGACTATTCCAGTGAGTCAAAGGGAATACGAATTCAGAACGTAGGTTCCCACCCAAACCTCGTCTACTGTAAACCCAAAGTTAAAGATGGGTGACGTGGATGCCACAGCAGGAGCTGTGGCAGGTGGGATGGCTCCAGCCAGGCTGGGTCTTCTGTGAAGGGGGTGAGGCTATACTGAGCATGCAAGTCCCCTTGAGGGAATAACGCTAGACCTTGCCCGATGACCCAGGTGTTGAGAGCAAGCTTCCATACTGAGATTCCCTTCTAGGGATGATTACTGCCCTTCCAGCAATCAGCATGGCTTCCTATAGGCTCTAGTGTAGACAAATGATTGTTTGGAGATCTGAAAGTTTTCTAAAGCAAAGTAACTAGGAAGGTGGCCTTGACATTAACAAAAGGGGCAAATATGTAAACTCATTTATTGACAACATAGACATAATGATGTAATAGACAGACCCTAATGTGTCTCCCCTTTCTTTAGGGTGAAAATAAAAAGCAAAAACTGATTTTATATATATATATATGTATATATATATATATACATATATATATATATATATGTTTTTTTTTTAGCTGAGCCATCCTGCCACCTGTTGGCAGCTCAGCTCGGGCTGGGACTCGAAATGCTGTTGCTCGGAGCTTGCACTCTTGAGCAAGCTCTGAACGAACTGAGCCACTCGGCTGGCCACCTAAAACTGATTTTAAAAGTAAGGTTTCCTACTAGTAAATTTATTGATTGGTTGACCATTTTTTAAATTTGGGGGATATTTTGACAGTCTTTGTTAAAGAAGCAATCAATGAATTTTAAATATTTTCTACTTCATGATTCTTGATCATGGCTACAGTTTTTATACTTGTAATCTTGAATTAGATTTAAGGGAAGTTACTTGATTTTATTTTAACAGTCCTCTTCCTCCTCCTCCTTCTTCTGTTTTGTCTTTTCTAAGTTGTGGCTTATAATTTTAGTTAATTTCTTAATTGGATATATTGTCAATGGTTGTGCAGTTAAAAGTTACTAATACAGGAATCATGTATGTTTATTTTATGGGCAGTTTATTTTCAGTTCACTTTCTAATACGTATTCTCTTTGTTCTCTTTGATTCAAAATTTTATTTTGGAGCCACTATTTTATTTTAATTTTTATTTATTTTTATTTATTTTTATAGATTTTATTGGGGAATTGGGGGAGGGGAACAGTGTTGGGGAATTGGGGGAAGGGGAACAGACAAGTTGCTGTTCTTTTGTTCTTCAGTCTAGTTGTGGAGGACGTTGCTTCACTGGCCCATGTTGGTATTGTGATCATTACACTCTTCCTGGCTGAGACAGATCGGTCACCGGCCTTTGGACGGCCGCTCACGGCAGCTGATGGCAGCTCACGCCCGCTGCCGGCCGTGGAGCCACTATTTTATATCAAGATTCACATGTGATATTCAGGGGGCTTGTGAAATCCTTGAAGTCTTATGGAAAAAAATTGTATTTCTGTGCATTTTTCCCTTTGGGAGATGGTACATAGCTTCATGAAATTTCAAAAGAGGTTCATGAAAAACTATTACCAACCACTGTTAGTGTCATTGCAAATGAATGAAGAAAGATTATTTACTTCATTTCCCTTTTTACTTGCCAAGTTACGGATCCAGTCAACAACAATAACAACAAAATCTCTGTATTATGAAACAAGGCAAGAAGGGTGGATAAAAAAGTTCATTTAAAAATACTGTAAATCACATTATGGGACAGCCTGTTTTTTGAAGCACAGATGCAAATATGCAATAACCAAAATATATACTATGCATGTATGTAACTGTAGTCTTCAATCTGTGGGAGGAAATACTCCCAGTTGAATATGAACGTAACTTTTAGTTAAGTTAACCAGAGCTCTCTGAAGTCTTTTATTTTGGAATTCAGAAAAAAGAAAACATAGTTTGCCTCAGACCCTGTCCATATTCAATATATATAAACTAGTGCTGTCCAAAGCTGAGTGTAGTGGGCATTGTATATGCTATGCAAAAATAAATAAATAAAAAGAATATATTTTAGAAAATGTACATCTAGAGTATCTCAGCATTTTTGTTCTCCAACCATTCTCCTGTTTTTTTGAAAAATGGTTGTCTGGTCATGAATAGGTTATAAAGTAGGTGGGCTTGGAAACTTTTAGCATCCCCAGGTCACCTTTATTCTCCACTGTAACTGGAAAGCAACATTAGTCAGCATCTCGAATATTCACTACATTCTGAAAATCTTACCTCCCCTGACCTCCTTGCTCACACACCTGTCCACTTCTATACACATGCCCATGTGGTCTTCCTTTATAATGAAAGGAATAGCTACCATGAAGTAACTTGGAATACATAAGAGTGTGGGCAGAATGGGGGTAAAAGTGAACTTTCAGTTTTAGCAGGAAAGTGAATTACAGATAAAATAATTCAGTTTAAATAATTGATCTGTAGATACAGAGAGAATTGGTGCAAGAACACATTTAAGAAGGTTGGCAGCCTCCAAATAAGACACTTTTTATGGTTTGCAAAAAATAAAAATAAAATATACATAACAATGACTGTTTTAGTGGCGTCTGTCAAAGGAGATTGAGGTCCCCTTTCAAAAATGCTGATGGTAGGACAATTTCAGGAAGACACGCAAGGAGGCACTGCCAGCAATTGCTGATCCAATTTTCATGTTGTAACTTTGACATTACCAATGGTTTCAGAAATTAATTATTGAGAAATGTGTGTATGCTTGGGTAGAAAGAGAATGAAAAATTAAATTTATTACCATGCAATTTGTTTTAATAATCAATTATTTCAGTCTAGGAATTAAAAGCATCTTAAACAGCATCTCAGTTAGCAAATAAATGTTTTGACTTTGAAACCCTTAAGAGTTTCTGTCCTAAGTGTTTCTTCTAGTCACAAAAATATATAATAACTGAAATATATCTATTCCTTTGGAACTTATAAATAAGGAAAGATTTTTCCCAAATTAAAGGAAAAATATAATGTCTTTTATTATCCCTCAAAGGACTTTAAAAGAATCAATACCTATCTGGGGGGGGACTGGGGGGGTTATATCCATGAAAAAATGTTATCTGTAAAAAAATCAAATTTAAATCAATGTATACATGAATACATATATTTTTAAAAAATAAAAATGAAGTTTTAAAATGTATACTATTTTAAGGGATCTATCTATCTAGCTACATAATATGTAATCTCAAATATATTTTCATACCAATAAATATAGAGCTGCATCAAATAGATAATTATTGAGAAGCAAAAGAACAGGCATACTTGCAGAAGCTCAAATAGAGCAATTCTGTAATTGCTAACAATAGCACTTCAAAGTAAAAGCTTTTTTATTCACATCTTCCCATTCAGGTTGCAATTTCAGCTTCTAGTTATCTATTTTTGGTTTGGTATCTTAGTATTAATAAAATAGTCTCAGTTCCTTCCTCTGTTTCATCTTGTAACATATTCAGTATTTGTGAAGGACAAATAGTCCACCAGGCCTTGGTGCCTTGTTCAGCATATGGAATGTGACTGGGGGTAACCCAGGAGCTTCTAAACCAGCCATGGGACGCAGCCAATCTCTGATGTCCTTATACAGCAGGGATTGTAGCCCAGGACTCCACAGATAATCCCGTGGATAGGTTTTTCTTCCCAGGCTCAAACTACTTAGAAATGACATATCTTTATGTGCTTATCCCAGAATCAAGCCCAGAGCCTGGCATAGAATAGGTGCTTTTTAACACATTTAATTAAAACAATAAGTACACGAATGTCCTCAGTGATACAACTCTTTATCTAGGAAGATGGACACAAGATGTAATTCATCCATTCTAACTACTCACCCTAAGCATGTCATTTTCCTCCTAAATAGAACTTCTGCTTTAACTTGAAAAAGCAAAATCTCCACAACTGACAGCAACTATCTAGATTGTAGAACACTATGATGCAAAGGATTCCTAAGCTTTTCTGGGATAGGCAGTAAGAACGACAGTTCAGTTCTTAAAGTCTGCCTGAAGTGCAGAAATGGCAGCATACCATGGTGGTTGAGAGGTTGGGCTCTGAGCCGAAATCAGTGGTTTTGGATCCTGAGTCTGCATTTACACTTCTGAGCTGTGTGACTTTGAGTAAGTTGGTTAACCTCTCTGTAACTGAACTTTGTCTTCTGTAAAATGAGGATAATAATATGAGGTGTGATAAAAAAAATATGGTGAATG